TTGTTTTATCTTCCCTGAAGATGACTGGAAAATAGATTTACCAGAGATCCAGAACCTGAGAGTTACAAGCCTCGGTGTCATAAACGAGAAGGTTTCCCGGGTCGCGTGGGATGATAGTTACTGGGGGTCTGACCTAAAAAAGTGCTGAATGAGGTACCTGCTTTAGGACTAGGAAGCTGTGCTCTATAGATCTCTGCCAGGCATCCTCACATGGATGGGCTGGATGACTTTCCTGGCGATTCCTAGGCCTTTCTACAACTCTGTGGATGCCCCTTCCTGGCATGTATGTTGGCATCTTGCTGCATGCTGTCATCATGAAGCAGGCTAGCCTCCTGGGAGCATACACATTCTTTGCAGGTTGGAAACATCTGTAAAACACAGCGAGCCTGTATTGTTATTTTTCTTCATTAGTGTTGTTGCTCTGTGATCACGTTGAAATAAGGATACCCACTGTGCTTAAAGCAGGCTGTTCTTATGCTGTAAACAGGAAACACAACTAAATGGATAGAAAAATATCTGTGCAGATGGAAAGTTTTGATTTGGAGAGATTCATACACCTGTCCAAGGCACATGAATGAATGTCCTGATACTACTTACAGCTTGACGTCTTTACTTTTGGTGGACACGCACTGAATCCTACAGAAGCAGTTGATTTCAGTACCCAACCAGCTAAAGCTGGATTTCTTTCTTACCAATATATAAACAACTTCACAGTGCTACAAATATAGTATAAAAAATGTACTTACATGTCTATATATGCAGCTATACATACAGATACATATAGTGATTACAGTGAATATTTAAAGAACCAAAATATTCCTCGTCACAGAATGGAAAATTTATCATAGTCTAAACCTTGGAACATGCCAGACTTGATATTTTCAGAAGCATTTCTAAGTGCTGAGAAACTTTCTTAACTCAGTGGATTTTTTCCTGCCAGTCAGCTGCTAAGACACTGGATTGTTGTCTCTTTCTGACCTGTTCTTTTAGTTCTTTTCCTCTTGTCCTGTCATACTTTGACATTCATAAAAAGGAAACTCTCTGTCTAAACCAGTGATTACACATAAAAAAGGAATCATGACCTGTCAAGAAAATGACATTCTCTTTTCCTTATCCCATTTTATATATGAAGAGGGTTTTTTCAGGCCTATTTCACATGTTAGTTTTTTTTTATTATATTGAAAGATATTTTGCACTTAGTGGTTTTCAATGGAAGATTGTATAGTGGTTTGGAAGCATATAGAAATTCATAATACCTGTTATGTAACATCTGAGACAAATGGGCTAGAAATAATTTAAGCCAAGAGCAGGGGCAAATTTCCAAGTATTTTGTTCAGTAGCAGAAGGGACTTGATAGAAGGGTATTCAGAAATACATGAGCTGTTTTTGACAGAAGAATTCAGGCAGATGCTTTGAAGCATCCAGATCTGAATAATGAATGTGTTATCCTGACACCTTCCCTTCCTGTCCCCCCCTGTGCATCCCTCATGGGCACCTTACTCTCTCAAAACAAGAAACCGATAATTCCTGACCTTTCCAAGCTCCCCTGTATTTCCTGGGCTGTTGATATGAGGCAAGAGGTTCAAACACCCATCTCACAGCTGCAATGATAGTGTCAGTCAATGTGAAATGGTTCTATCAGAGCCAGGTATTTCACCATCCTTTGTGAGTTAAAAAAAGGAAAAAGTGATTTTTCCTTCCTCTCTTTCCATCTAACAGCTAAAGCTTTGACTATGCATCAGCAATAGGTTTGTGAGCCTGTTAGCACTGTTTAGTTACCAAGTAAACATGAGGGCTGTGCTCATACTGAGCTACCATGTGTGCATGGCTCAACGCCGTACACAGATGTAATTTCCTATAGAAAACTGAAGCCTGAAGGAGAAAAAGAATGGATAAACACCAGAAGTGGCTGGTTGATGAATTTTCAGAGTTATTCATGGATCTTAAGAGTCTGAACCAGAGGCCAGGACAGTCTCCCAGTTGCACAGTTGAAAATAATAGTGAACCAACCTGGTTTGCTGTACAGCCCTTGATGGTGACTCTATATGTAGATAGGGCCCTTGAGACCTCATTCAGGTTTTTGCCCTATTGATTTTAACGCCAGTGATGACCTTAAAAGAAGGACAAAATGTACAGACACAACCATATTTTAAAAATTCTTCCTCTATAAACACCTACACAAATACATAAATAATTTTCTTAAGCGTGTCTTTGTCCTGCTCACTCAGGGGTGTGGTTAATAATACTGTGTAAATACAAGACTGTGATTCCTTGATATTGAAAGGATGTTATGGCTTTCTTTCACTGGACTTTTTTTTCAGCGTCTTAATTACAGTAAATTAAAATAATTAGAGTGAAATAATTTGAACCCTACAACTCCTTATGGTTTTATGCTGCTTTTCAGAATGATAATGAATATTAATGTAAATCATTGATGTATTCTTACTACCTTTTACTCCTTATAGACAACTTTCCATGTCACAATTTTGCTCTACATAGAATTCTGTGAATTCATTACTAAGAACAATGAATGTAATATTCCAGCTGAGCAAAGAAAATTAAGCTTTTGGTGAATCATATTACAGATAAAAATTAGCAACGGACAATTTCCTAATAATGAGTATCTATGATAAAATAAAATGAATTTTGCTTCTGTAAAACCTCTCACGCATAAATGTATAGTTTTTTATTCACAGATCAATAAACCAAAATAAACTAAAGCAAAATGGAGTGTGCTCAAAGTATAATGACCATACAAAGGAGCTACACATTGCAAGAGTTATCATAGGAGCTGATCTTTTCTGTCCTTTTTCTGTTTAGGATTTGATTTTGTTTCTTTCAATTAAAAACATATGCACTGTCTGCAATAGTTCTTTTCTAGTTTCATTACCGGATCACTATTGTTGCTGAATGTCCTCTAGAATATGTAATGTGACTAACAACCTGTCACCTGAGATCAGCTTTCTATCTCACTCTTTCCTGAAGGAGAGTAATTGTGTTCATAATACTGATAAGATTTCTTCCCTCACCGTCTCTATTAGCACACACATTTTTCTGCATGTTTGTGTTGAAAGAGTTGTGTAATTTTGCTACTGCAACAGAATGTGGAAGGTTATGTGGTAGCTCTGTGGCTATTTGTAGAGGATGTTGGCATGGTCTTTTATCCCTCATTTAAAGGGAGTTTTTTCCCAGTGAATGTCCCCATCATACTTCAGTCATACTTTTGCCCAAGAGGTAAATAAGTAAAATTAAAATATGAAAGGGGAGTTGTAATAACCCCTTGTAAAGGATAAAGGGAAAAGAAAAAAACCCAAGAAGCTGTTTTTTTTCCCTGGGGCACTTCAGTAACAGTCCCTTAAAAGTGGAGAGATGTGTCTGTGCCAGGGGAACTTTAATGGCATTTCTCAGATGTCATAAAAATTGCAGGAACACAGTACCAAATTCTTATATGTAGGCCATTAAACTATGGCTGAGTCCAAACAAGTATCTCAGAAACCTCTAAGCCACATAATTTGCTTAGAGCCTCATAAGAAGAAATTGCAAATAAAAGGATATAATATGCCAAAAATTTTCCTTTTCATGCCTTATCATTAACAGAACAGCAAGAAGATACCCAAAGTAAAAATCTGATGACCTGTTTAAATCTAGCTTTAAATCTAGCTTTGGAACTCATTCCATAAGCTTTACTGCCAGGTAAATCACCAGTGGATTCTAAAACTAGACAATCACATAATAGTGAAAACTTGTCTGATAAAATAAGGAAAGGAGGGGAAATATAAGCTGAACTTCTTTGTAAAATAAGCCTGTCACTAAGTGATTGGGCTTAGCAACAAATGCCATTTGAACCACTATTGTCTTATACTGGGTATGGCACCATTCTTTCAGGCAGCTTTTATTTGGACTACTGTGGAAAAAACCATGTGAATGAATGGATAATCACTATATCTCCAGAGAGCTGATATGTTTTGTTATTTTCTGTGCAAGCAAATAAAAAAGTCCTAAATTAAAGCTGGAATGTGAGGGAAGACTGTTTTAGTCTTCTGTTGTAGACGAATTTGAACTTCTTTCTTTGGATTCATGATAACGTTTGTTAACTCAGTTGACACAAAATTTTATTGGAAAACTCATGGACTTCATGTAAGATCTAGTCACAAAGTGGGAAGAGGTCAATGGATTTGCAAGGTTAAAATTAGTTTTTCTTTTGCATGTTGGAGAGATGAGAGAGGTCTTTCTTTTTAGTATGTGAAATATTACTGGAAATGCACTCAGCTGAAAGAGCAAACATGTTTCAGTTGGAAAGTGGGGAATGGAAGGTTAAATACAGAGTTGGTTTCTGAGTCAATGTCCAGAAGACTGTGGGCTCTAACACGGTGTTTTTAGAGCCATGAGAAACTTTGCAAGCCCTGTGGAGTACAGTAATAGGGATTTGTAGATTGGATTTATGTTTTTGAACAGCTGCCTGGTATGCTTTGACTTCAGATGGTAAATGCTATCATGGCAGGAGATCCAGGAAAGAATGGCAAAGGTTGGCCTACTCTAAATTTAATCTGTGACTACTTGAGCCAGGATTTTGAGACATTTGTGTTAACTGTTCTCAGGGCTCTTGTCAGTCAGGAGCTAATAAGGGTATGTAGAACTAGTGTCCTCCAACGAGAAATCTCAGTATGGCAGTTCAAATCAATTTTGGGGCCATATAAAGAGCATATGGATACTTTATGTACTATAGCAGATGGTAATTATGATTGGCATCACTCTTGCCCTTTAAACAACATCAAAACAATGACTGCTCTCCTTACTCCCTGCTCATTTGCAGAACATCTGTTCCAATAAAATATGCTGTTGCTTCAGCTACAATGGCTAGTTTTAACATAATAGGCTACCTTCTATTAATCAAGTGGTGTTACAACACTTAAAGAGTTTCTAGACATAAAACTACAATCCATGTAACAGTTACTCATATTTTAAATAAGCCTAATCTCACTATGTGTTTTAGATATCAGTCTTCAGACCTCACTACCTGAAGACACTTCCGAGCACGGGAAGGCTGAAAATGTGCAAAATGTGAATTCAAAGAAGGCACCAAATTCTAGGACTCCTACAATGAAGTAGGTTTGGGCTTAGTTTATGCTGATGTTCAAGAATAAAATGAGCTTGAAAAGCTCAAAAAGAATAGGAGGGAAATGGGTATGGGCAATGCAGTGTTCCACCACTGCATATATCTCTGGTTGGTTAACCAGAGATATATGGTTGGTTAACAAGTCTTGAGGAGATGAGCTGTGCACCCTTTTTCTCACTTCTGTGAGTTTTAGTTATATACCATTGTGATATTAGACTGAGTATAGATAGTCATTAATGTATAAACAGAAGTGCCAGCAGAGATTTTCTAGAAGCAGTAGGTTTGGGGCATGAATGCTGGTGTTATGCATTCTTGTCTGTGCTTTTAATCCTGCCTGGATGTTTAGGCTGGGCACTACTGTCTGGGCTGTCTTTTGTAAAGGTTGCCTGAGTCTCATCAGGATGAGAGACATCTGATGGAGGAAGGCATGAAAAGCCAGTACAACAAAAAATCCATGTACACAGACATGTAGTTCTGCTGAGAATTACTATCCAGTGAGTGCATGTGACACGGTAAGAGGAGGCTATGCTATTTCCTGACACTTTGTTTCTGTCTCTCTTTACTTCCAAAATTGCCTTATGTACGCCTTGTTGTACAAAGTGATCACTGTTATTCCATATTGCCGGACAATTGGTGTTCCTGACCAGTTATATCTTATAACCCATTTTGATCCTTAGCCAATACTGTTTTGTGATGCCCTACTGTGCTGTGTTTGTAAATCCCGAGTAGGTCTATAAGTATTGATGTCTGCTCAGATATAAGAATTACTTGGGCTATGCTCTTTCCTGAGCTCCTGATTTTGTCTTCTGATGGATGAAAAGGAGAATTTAAAACTGAATTCTATTTTGCCGCAGAGAACAATATGCCATGAAGAGATATTATCAGTTCTGACTTGTGTGCTCGCTGCCTGAAGTGTGATTGATCACCAGGAAATCAAGGTATCATCCCTGTACTTGCTCGGATGCGATGCCTAAGAAATACCCAGATTAAAACAGTGGACCCCACCCTGCCCCAACTTCTTCTCCATCTCCCCCTAGCCCTTTCTATAAGTGTCCATGATTAAAGAATGTAAGTTTAAGCAGATTCAGTGACAAAACTGCGTAATAGGAAATGCAGAGATAAGCTGTGCAAAAAAACCCCAATTCAAAATCCCCAAACCAAAACAACAGCAGTGTTTGTAAATGTTTCCCAGATGAAAAGGGACATAATCTGGGTTTGGATCAGGGTCTGGAAAGGCACTGCTTCAAGCAGCATGTACCTGTCCATTTGTGTAAGTGTGGCCACTGAAGTACAAGCTGCCGAAACCTGGAGCTGGTTTTGCAAAAATGGGGCATATGTTCCTGAAATCTTTAGATAAAATTTTAACCCATAATTTAAGTCTGAGGTAAATCTGAGCCAGAACTCACTGCTCGACTGCAGGTATTTGGTTGTTTTGTGACCCTGGATACTACTGAAGGCAATGTTTCACACGGAAGCTATTAACTTTCTACCTCATGAAGCATATTCTTCCAAGCCCTTCTGGAAATCCATAGCATCAGTTAATTCTTAAGCCTTTAATCTTTGTATATTCTAGGTACAGAAACCTATTGCTTATATATTATTTTTATCTCTATCTTTGTACTAGGCCTCATCCTTCAGTAATGACTCTCCATTGTGAACCTTATTATTGTTATTGTTATTTTTGTTGTTGTTATTATTGTTGTTATTTCCATGGCTATAATACCACTAGTCAGGTTTTTGGTTTTATTTTGTTTTAATGAATTAATTAATTTCATGTAATGATTTTTTCCATTAAACTGGTGTAGTTATATTTGATCAGCTGTGGATAATTGTAGATATTAATTAAATTCACACCACCCTCAGGCCTCTGAAATGTTGTATAAATTATGAAACCAGACAGTGGTCTCTAGGTAGACCAAAACCTGTGTATTCCTGACTAAGAAGAAATCAGGTAGAAGCATGAAAAGTCAGAAGTTGTTCTGTTATTTCACAGAATCACAGAGTATGCTGAATTGGAAGGGACCACAAGGATCATCAAGTCCAACTCTTAGCCCTGCACAGGACCATCCCCGAGAATCACACAATGTGCCTGAGATATCACCCAAACACTTCCTGAACTGTTAGGCTTGTGCTGAGACCACTGCCCTGGGGAGCCTTTTCCAGTGCCCAACCACCCTCTGAGTGAAGAACTTCTTTATAATATACAACTTAAACCTCTCCTGACACAACTTCAGGCCATTCCCTCTGGTTCTGTCCCTTGTCACCACAGAGAAGAGATCCGTGTCTACCCCTCCTCTTTCCCTCATGAGGAATTTGTAGATTGTGATATCTCCTCTCAATCTCCTCTTCTCCAGGCTGAACAGAGCAAGTGACCTCAGTCACCCCTCAAGGCCCTTCACCATCTTCACTGCCCTCCTTTGGACACTCTCTAGCAGCTTAATATCTTTCTTATATTGTGGCACCCAAAACTGCACACAATATTCAGGGTGAGGCCGCCCCAGGTCAGAGCAGAGCAGGACAATCCCCTCCCTTGACTGGCTGGTGATGCTTTGCCTGATTCCCTCCAGGACAGGGTTGGCCCTCCTGGCTACCGGGGCACTGCTGACTCAGATTCAACTTATCAACCAGAACCCCCTTTCCTGTCACTGCTTTCCAGCATCTCATTCCCCAGTCTGTATGAACAGCAAGGGTTGCCTCATTTGAGGGCACTTTTTACAGCAAAGTCCAGGAGGCATTCCTGAGATGTGAGAGTCTGGCCTGTCAGACCATCACATGACAAAACCAGGCAGTGCCTGCTCCTGGAGTCTGAAAACCTTTGAGGCAAGGAGCAGAACAGCGTAATGCGAAGGGCTGTCTTCTTCTCCTGATGCTTGAGTGGACCCATAGACTTGAGCACTGAAATAAAAAAGGAGTCCCTTCCACAGACAAAAAAAGGCTTCATTATGTCACAATGTGGATAAAAATGATGAGTAAGAAAGGAAGCATGTCTTTAACAGAAACATGAGTGCTCTGGGAGCTTGAGTCAGTTAGTGAGTGCAGGACTGTACATTATCACAGAAAGAGTTACTTGTGAGCAAAGAGAGGTGAGGAAGGAAACGTCTCCTGCATCACACATTTTCTTTTCCCATCTCTCTTGCAGTCTGCAACATCATGGCCAAGAACTATACCTTTGAGCCCCAGATGTTGCAAATTTTTCCCACTGCATTCATAGAGGCTGGCAGGAAGCATGTTCTCATGCTTACACTGAAGCAAAATAATAGGATTACTAACAAGAACAAACAAAAAGAATTCCCTCAACCAAGAAGTTGAAACTCAAACTCGTAATAACATAAAACCAACCCAGGCATATGGAAAGCATTAAACACAGCAGTTTCAGTGATTGTGAGAGATGGAACCAAGTGGTTTAGGTCAAGGGGAGTACTCAGTTGACAGAAGACAGATGTGAGGATGATGATGTTTAAATCCTCACATTTCCTTGGTACATCTCGAGATGTAGACAAGGTGTAAATCATGAATGCAGCCACTGATGGCTTGCCAGAGGTGTGGCACAGAGAATGAACAACAAGAAAACAGAAGGCTAATGCTTAGAAAGGGTTTTTTAACACCTATTGCTCACTGTGATCTTTTTTCATAAAGACAAATGGTTGGTTTTGAGGGAAAATTTTACTTTTTACCATCTGATATACTTCAGTTATGTATGGAAGATGTGAACCAAAGAGTGAAATGCCAGCCACAATGACAGATGTGGAATGTTCATCCACTTTAGACTGTCCAGTGTGACTTTTCCACGGGATGGCTTTCTCAGGCAGCTCTCACTCCTCACCTCTGCTCTCACTCCTCACCTCTGCTCCCCACCCGGTGCATTTTCTCAGGGCTGAATAACTAAGTTAAAAAAGAGAGAATCCTCTGGTTCCCTGGACTACTGTAATTTTCACCAGGAGAATAGAAAAGAAAAAAACTTAGACCCTGAAAGGCAGACAGCTCAGTCTTCTTTCCCTGAAGTTGAAAGCCTCTGATGAACACTTACCATTTCCAGCTGCACAATGTGATGGTTGCATGTTCAAGAAGGTTCTGTTTGATCATTGTTCCTTAGAAAATATGTCTCACTCATGAAGGACAGGTACCTGTGTTCATTCTCCCTGTTGCTGAACTCTGAAGAGAGCAGGGATTACAAGTGTGCTGCATGCACCTTTCTGTCAAGGGCCAGTCTTTGTCAGGCTGTTCCCTCGTGGTGTTCTGACAAATTCTTCACAGGCCTAAATGAATGTCTAGAATTAGATTCTGCTCATAAAACCACATTTTGACAAATATCTGTACAGATGGGAGGAAGAGAAAATAACTCTCACCAATCTGCTGGGATCCTGCAGCAGGATGCAAACACTCAGTATGTTTGTGTCTCTGTGAACCAGAAGAAAGGTACCTTAAACCCTCATTTTCCTTGCAAAGAATTCAGATAGTCACTTGTTTGGAGCTTCTCCTGTGTTTCCCATATTCAGATTTCTATGACTCTCAACATGTTGATCCTGCACTCAGCTGTGATTTTTTTCTCATTCCCACTGTGTTTCAGTGGTTAGAAATTAACTTTTTAGGAAAAGAGGTAAACTTTTGGCAGCAAACTAGCTCATGGTTTATTTTAAAGGAGATCAATAACACTACATAGAACTAGAAAGCAGTTGTTCTTTAAGAATGCTTTATTATGTATTGTTTTGCCCCAGAGAAAAAAAAAAGGTGAGATTGGAATCACTATTTCCAATCACATTCCCAAATCACTACCTTTTTGAGAAGCATTTTACAATCTGTACTCTGTCTATACTCTGTGAAGCTACTTAGAAAATGCTGTATTAACAGTAAATTACGGTCTGTGAAGAAAGCCCATACAAAATAAATCCTCCTGTAGTAACTCGTATCATAGTGCACTTCTGTTTCACT